CCCCTCCACCTCCCCCCCCACACCCACACCACCCCCCCACCCACCCCCCCCCACCCCCACACCCCCCCCCCCCCCCCCCCCACACCCCCCCCCCCCCCAACCCCCCCCCCCCCCCCCCCCCCCGCCCCCCCCCCCCCCCCCCCCGCGGGGCCGCCGCCCCCCGCGAAATATAGGTGAAAATCGAGTTTTTGTACAAAGCGTCGACACTCGTAATCTCGCCATTAATATCACAAGTTTTCTGTAAAATGCGATTCATTTTAGCTAATATATATATATACCTTTAAAAATTCATCTCTTTTCACTTTCGTCGAGCTCTTTGTTAAATATTCAACTACATTTATTTGTCGCGCTGTTATATCTAACAAAGTGGATTTCAGTTCTTGTGCATAAAATGAATGATATTCATTAAATTTCGCTTCTTTTACCATCAGCATCATTGAACATACATAAAACATTAGGCTGCTAATAAACTCATTTTGTTGTTGTAACGTTAAATCGATTATCTTTAATTTTGAACGATTAAATAATTTTTGTAATAAACGTACAGGTTCAAAACGTATTTCTGCAAGACGACTTTGCATAATAATCATTGATTCACGGGTAAATTGTTCTAAAATTTTACCTGAAGGAAGAGAAAACCCAAATTCAAAATGTCAAGCGAAAAAGCCTAGATTCAGTCGAGCATCTAACTAAACGAGTGAAAAAAAGTCGGTTTAGGAAATTTGGTAGAATGAAATTTCATTGAAAAGAAGTTTCGTCGAAACCGTGATCCATCACGAGTCCATGATGATCGTGGCGGCAGCGTGCGTGCGAAGGTGTTCAACGAAATTTCTTCATTCCAAACAATATCACGTTAGCTACATGCATTGACCTTTTACCTGATTACACGATGCATCTAAATTTTTAGATGAAAAAAATAACAGCTAGATTAGGGGTGTAGTCGTAGCGGTTTTCCTTCTCAACTGTCAACGGTAATTTATCAGTTGACGTTCTGAACTGTCAAGGTGTCGCATTAGTTGACGTTCTAAACTGTCAACTACATTTTGTCAGTTGACGTTCTGAACTGTCAACGTTGAAGCCCACTGATCTAAGGTTCTTAAATGAGTGAAACCTTCATACTTTTCACGTAATGCTTTGACATGAATGAAGATCTCTCGTGAATCAAAATGTTTTGAGAAATTTTCCCGTTTTCTACGTTATTCTGCTCGTTTTGTGCCTCTTTTTTCAATTTTCTTTCGCATGATTTTTCTCAATGCTTTTCGGTCTACAAGTCATCATACTGATACTGAACTACACTATAACGACATCTAACGACATAGTGTTTCACAGTTGAGAGCGTCAACTGACGAGATACCGTTGAAGTTTAGAACGTCACTTGACGATATGCAGTTGACAGTTCAGAACGCCAACTAATGCGACACCTTGACAGTTTAGAACGTCAACTGATAAGATACCATTGACAGTTCAGAACGTCAACGGCAAAACCGTTTCCATTCCCGTTTAAAATTTTGCCAAACCAACGTGAACGGCTACAGCCCTAAGCTAGATGCAAAAAAAGCGATGCATCGGATAGGAAGTTAAGAGGAAAAAAATTAATCAAAGCTTCTGCAGCGGAGATTTGAACTTTGAAACTGGAGATTATCGGTCTTCTTTGCATTCCACTGCGCTCCAGGAATTTACAGTAGTTTATCTATAGCTTTCCTTTTGATTAGTTTGAAAAGCTTGTCAGCGCAGACCCATTGGGTCTAAAAGTAAAATCCCTCTCATAAATCCATATTTTACGAGCAAAAGGTATCCTCCAACCGCGCCAATAAACTGTAACTATTATTACGCAAACTTGCTGAAGAGATAGCCACTGTTTTATAATTCTTATAAAACGTCAAAGACTAAGGGGAGTTTCACAAAATTGTACTGGGTTAAGGATATTTCTCATGTTTATCTCATTCAAGATAGACTTAGTTAGTCCAAGAAGATAAAATGTAGAAAATTGAATTTCGCAAAGCTTTTACTTCTGGCAAAACTTTCAAAAACATTTCCTTCAGGATAAAAGACTGAAATTAGCTAAAAAAAGGCGATAATCTCACTCTTTTAACCCTGAAGTTTTTCATAGTTCTGTCCGGAGTAAAAAAGATTGTCAAAGTAGTAATAGGATATTTGCTACTAGCTGCAGCTGGACGTGAACCGACTTTCACTAAAAGCATCATCCGATTTAATCAGTGACTCGGGTTCCGATGATGCACAGTTAGTTGAATAGATCAATTTATCGCCCGATACATGAAGCAAAAGCCGTGTAGATGCACCTCTTCTTCAATCTAGAGCAGCTAGTTGTATTAAGTTATAAATATGGTGTATCTCTAGATACATTGCCGGATGCTAAATATATTTTTCATGTTTGACAAAGCCGACGAGATAGTACCCACAATAATTTCTGAGAATTTTACGGTAAATAAAAACTTATGATTATAAATCGTGTTTTTAATTTTTTTCTGTTAAATCTTCTGTTTCTTCTGGTGTTCTTTTGTTAAACTGAATCTTAGCTCACTTATCCTCTTCTGTCTCAAGTAGCAGATTATCTTGTTTCACTACACTACATACTGTACCTTGTGTTTGCGGAACTTGTGATGCAATTTGATCACCTGATAAAAAACCTTGTATACTTAATGCATATAATTGATTTAAATTTTCTAATGCGTAATAAAACCGATTTTCAATATCAAATGTAGCCGTAAGAGGGAAAATGACCAACGATGTTGCTACTGCAACTGCCATACCCAATACAAATAGTTCTAATAGTTGAAAGACAAATACAGAAGGAATCGGTGTTTGGTTAACGATTGTTGCAAAGAACACGGCATTGAATAAAAGGCTAATTTTACGTGTACCAACAGCAGGACATTTGTATGAAATATAACATGAAGAAATGAGTAAGAGAAGTTCGGTGGCTAGAATGAGAAGAGAAAATGGTAGTCAAGAGGAATTGTACGTAAATCTGCAATATGCACAATGCGCAATATATACACAGGCACCGTAACTGTATAATACTCAAGACGAAAAAACGTTTTTCCTTAAAATAGAGTGGGCTTTTATTTTCGATACTAAAAGCATATAAATCCAAAATTGCAGATCTACAACCTTTTGCATCTTTCCTACTAAAAAAAGACGTGCATTTCGATAACTTTGCACAGCCTATCTCATCTCAGTGGTCTGAACGTGTTTTAGCGAGCTCAGATTCCATCCGATCTGTGTTTGAACAATATCATTTTGTTCGAAAAGTACAATAAAACTAAAGAAAACAAAGACTTTTTAATCCTACAGAACAGATTTTCAAGATCGGTAAAAAAGCCTTAAAATTAGATTTCAAAACTCACCTAAATAATCATGATATCCCAACCCAATCTTTTGTACTATAAATAAAAAGATACTAATTGGCACTAATGTCTTTAACATTTGATAACATCCGAGTAACGTTAGTCCCAGTGTCTCCTGTACACACATTGTACTCATTACTGGTACTAAGAACTGTTGACTTAAACTCATCCGTAACGATGTCCCGTAAGCCAAAAATGCACCAAATAAAAAACTACATGTAAGACGTATACAATATTGTATTTGACGATTGAATGGACCACGAAATAATTTTGATGTAAATGATAGAGACGGATGAGAATGAATATAACGATGATTAAAATAGATTTGACGTGATGCAGTTAGTGTAGAACGAAGCTTTTTTTTGGATAGATGACGATGGGATTTAGTAGAGGTAGAAGGATGATCGGATTCGCTTTTTTCTGATGGAATACCTTTGAATTCGACTTTAGGTGGACTGATACTGTTTGACATTTCGAATTCTGCTGTGTCCGTATCATTATTTTCAGTAACAGATGCACGTTTAAGCATTTTGTTGTGTTTCTGAAAGAGAGAACGCGGTGCGTCTAATCGTTAAAGGCAAAATTAATTTGATTAAAGAAAACGTACTCAATAACATGGAGATTTCTTTTTCTTCGTTTCTACAGACCTAGAGAGTAAGTATATGGACCGCCTATCAAAATGTCTCGCCACATCATCATTAAATCATGATTTCTTTTTTCTTAGTCCCAAAAAACTTTTTCTTGTAAAAAAAACGGTAACTTTAAGGGTAACTGTACAAGTTCATTGAGAAAATGTGAGATGAGAAGGAAAAAGTCTGTTGCTGAAAATATAGACTTCAAAACACATGTGAAAATTAATTCTCTCTTTTACTTCTCTCTGGCTTTACAAAAGTACTGAACGCTATGGGCGGTTATTTTGCCCATTTGTCACGTTTCAATAATTGTTGGACGCTATCATTCGGAATAAACTGTTTCCAACACAGACCGTTACCGAGCAAGTTTTTTTTCCACCTGTCTTGCCGAAGAACCGGGCAGAAAGGGTAATTATTTCAGTTATGTATCACACTTTACATGGAGGTCTGTCGCAAAATCACCACTTATCTCATTTGAAAGAGCATTTAATTCTGAGTAAGAATGCGTCATTTAAAAGATTTTAAAGCATTGGCATGGGGTT